GCTTGTATTGTTAAATCTAGGAAAAGGCTATCAACACCATGCAAACTTGTCTTATAATCCTAGGTGTTGTGTCGGCTGACCATGGTTTGTGTCAAGTCCCTCCCATATTTAGCGCAAGTCTCTGCGATAATTACAGATCAGCTCAGTAGTCAGTAGAGGTAGTCTGAGTTAGTTTACTCCCAATTTAAAGACTGTGCAGCACAACATTTTACTGAAAGAAATATGCATTCTTGAACAGTACTTCCAACTGTAAAGGCAAAATCTGTATTGTATAAGTTGTAGAATAAAGCTGTAAAATGCACAGAGAGACCAATTTTAAAAATTAGCCACCTAAAACTAGAACCTGTTTGTCACATGTAAAAGACACATTTGTGCCCAGGTTGGATTAAAAAACTACTCTGAAGATTATGTTAAACTAAAGGTAGATGACTGTTGTGCACACAATTATTAAGAGGTTAGGCTTGCTAGCACACCTTTTTTCTCAGTGATAGAGTTTAGTGCTACAGCTGTGCAGTATAACATGTTATTGTTCAGTTTCTCAGACAGAGAAACGATTTTCCTGTCGTCATTTGTCCTACAGGACACATTCTCTCATTCATTTCAATATGCAAGACACTGCTATTGCCATACCACTCACATCATCATGCTGTGCTAATTTTAAGGAGGATTCCATGAGGTTTGCAAGGAAAAGTATTGTACGAGGGTAAGCAGAATGAACCTCCAACATTTGAGGGTAATGGTAATCAGAAATTCAGCTAACATATGGGTATCTAACAAAAGAAAACCTGGGTTCAAATGAAAAGAGTGCAGTCCACATTGTAAAGCCTCTTGTTGTTCTGATACTAAAAAGAAAGCTTATCTTACCTGGTAATGAACTCTCTGTGTAGTAGAAGTTACCGACTGTAGGTCCTAGCAGTGAAAGACACAGCAGTGATGAAAAAAATTAAAGCAACAAGAACTGTTTGCAGTTGTACTATCTGAAGTGGCTGGGCAAACACAAATAATTTTGCCAGTATTTCTCACTGGTTTTAAGTGTAGGAAACAAGCACGACAGAATAGTCATGAAAGCTCACTTGAAGTTTAGATTTACAGGCATTTGGTCAAAAACACAGTTTTAAAAATATAGAGATCGTGTTATTGGATCTTTACCATATCACAAACCTATTGTTCCATGAAAACTATCTAAATTTAGAATATCATCAACAAAATGAAAGGAAAGATGCTAAAATATATAAATCTTTTTTGCAAATATTTCTGAGTAATTAATGCACTAAAGAAAACCACTGGCAGTTCTCCCTGTTTTAAGACAATCATCTCACATCAGGGAGGTCATATCAGAATGACCCTGGTATTTAGCAGGGTTCAGGAATCTAATTTATTTTAATAGAGATTTTGTCAAATAGTTTTAGCTCATGACATAGCCTACCAAAAAGCCTGGCCTACAAACTATAGCTCCCCCGTTGGCATGCAAGTTGGCAGAATGCAGAAAACCTTGGCACCTCCATTCCCAGCAAATGGATCTGAGCCAAATCAAGCACACAAAAAAAAGTACTATAAACCCTGCAAAAGGTTGGAGAAACACAGTTCCTTCGCAACCACTATGAGTAATGCAATCAGAACTTCTAGCTGTGTTTCCTCCAGGAGTGTACAAGTACTCGTCACCCAATACGGGACATTAAGTTGCCCAAGCTCAGTATGAGATCACATTTATAATCTGCTGAGAACGTCATCACAATTATTTCATTGTAATTTTCCATCACCGGATACTTCAAATATGCATCATCTTATAACATGGCTTTATGTCTAATAATAATAGCCACACCTCAGGTGTGAAAGTTCAGAAATGCATTTGATGAAGGGAATCCTGGCTGACATACAAGAAAGTGAAAGCCTGTAGTGAGAGACTAAGGCCCGTATTCAGGCTGCAGGTGCACAGTTTCAAAACCACAGGGAAGTCAGTGGCTCCCAAAGAGTTCAATGGGAAGGATGAGGTTCATAGCTCCTATGTAAATTGGACCATATATTTAGAAACCTACGGAATGTCCTCACACTTGTAAATGTTGTTGAAAGAAATCAGTAAAAGATTAAAAACAGTCAGAGACAGCATATTAATGAAAGTCCATTAGTTTTGTCACTAAAGGCATACACACTTAAAATTATTCATGTAATGGGGCATTTGGAGTCCCCATTTCCCAGGCTGTATTGTAGAATGAACTCTCCTGAGGCAAGGTGTTCAAGACAACAAGAGCAACATTATTATTAGCTGCATGAACATACATTTCTGTGTATTTGGAAATATCTAGTTGATATTTGTAGTGTTTATTGGTGTCTCAGATTACTCCACGATAGTATTAGAGAATGGTATTTGCATAATTAGACCCACTCAAATACCACAATGTTTATCCTTACGTAACACACTTTCTAATCAGTAAGTTATGTGATTTCAGCAAGGTATGTGGAGAGGCCTGCTATTCCATTCCAATTCAAGGAGAAGTAAACACATCCATCCACATCAATTCTGTTATCATTTAAAAGGAGTCAGTATGACTTTTCATTTCCTGTTTAGAAAACATTTTTCAGTGCTACTCCTGATTTTATTACCATATCATAACTATAAAGTTTTGTTTTCAGTGATAGACAAACTGCAACTATTAGACTTCTGCACTCAGAACTGAAAGAAGCATAATATGTATTCATAAATGATAGCTGAATTCACAAAAAACTCACCTCTTGTAGACGATCAATGTACATACGACAGGTCTCCAAGTCACAATCTCCTCGTATAACTATAATTCCTAGAGGAATGGCTGGAAAATCAAAAACAAAGAAAAACCTCTTTAACTGAAGTCCCTTGAACTTTAAAAGATTTGCAATATGCTTCAGGGTTAGTTGGTTTATTGGTTGGTTTATTGGTTGGTTTTTTGGTGTTTGTTTTCTAATGTCCTCACAAAAGCTTTCTACTATCATCTAAATCATTTAAATGACGATCAGTCATTTAAAAGCAGGAACATATTATCCATCATTAGTTTCACTCATTTATAATTATCAAAGATTTCAGTTTTCAACTGTCTTTCGTACCGAAGAAGCTAAACCAGATACAGTTAAACTATGTACTTCATTCTCTGATGTCAATATGCATTATTAAATTCAGAGAAAGGAACATACCCCAGAACAAGAGTTTAGGGGGGTGCTCTTATACATTGAAATAAGAGAGTGATATTTCATTTTCAGAACTCTTAAAAGTATACAAAAATGATTTAAAGTAATGAAAGTCATAGCCTGATTTCAGAGAAAACTGTCCAGTGCCATGTTATTTTGATGTAAGGCTGCTTTCAAATCAAAACAGACATTACTCCATCTACACAGAAAATTGACACCTTATCTCCATATTTTCTCAGAGAAGAAACAAAAACTTGTAAAAATGTAGCAAATAATTCCCCTCAGTTGATGGCAGCATTTTTAATAACAGGGGATTTAGGTTTCCACAGTGATTCTGTTCTTGCAGCCAAAAATATCCAAAACTAACCCACAAAGAGAACAAAAGAGGAAAAAAAAGTAAAATTGAGTCCATAAGGAAGGTACCAAGAGAACTACCTGCTAAGATCTCATTAAATATAAAGAAAATAAGTGAAAATTTTTGAGTATCTGATTTTCTAAAACTGAATCAGTGAATGAAGTTCTTTTTTTCTCCCTGGAGGGTCTTTAATCAAACAATGGCCCAAAAAAGTAGGGGAGCAGCAGCAAAGAGATTTAAATCCTCATATGAAGTGTTCCAGAAGGAGAGCAGAATAGCAACTCATAAACAATTTTGGTAACTGGATAACAAGAAGCAACATAATGTCACTGACAGTTCTGAGATAAATAGAAAAAACAATTGTGCTGCAGCCCCTCCTGCCATTCAAAAGAAGTTGATTCAGAGGGAGAGATACTTATCTACTGAGAGATACTTATCTACTGGAAAGCTCTTCATTCTGGAAAGAGAACAAGGCAGCACTGAAAGTTAATGGGGAACATGGCTCATATTTTCGTGACCCACCAAGGCTAGAAGCACAAAGAGAAGCTCAGTGGTTTCAGGGAGGAGAGTAGGAGAGCACCTACAGCAGTCGAGGTCATCACGAGCCACAGCGGCCAGTGCAGGGCTCTGGGCACAATCAGCAATGCTGCCAGCATCGTGTTTGGAAAGCAATTTGAACAGCAGAACAGCTATGAACCCAGGAAAACTAGAAATGGGAAAAAATGGTGGGGAGAAACAAGAACATAAAGAAGGGATAGGCAGTAAGACTAGAGAAAAAGGGAAGAGCTTGCACTTCCCCTGAAGCAACACTGACATCTGATAGTGATGCCAATCCACCTGCACATTTTCAGAAAGGCCAGAAGGGAACAGCACTCATTGTGACCTCCCAGATTTTTTCATTACAGAACAGATGAGACACAAGCAAGTGGAAGAAAGGTCAGTCGCGAGGTTTGCTTTACGCGCTCCAATGCTCTAGGTTACAGAGTGATTCTCTTTGCTTAATGCTTATTATTGCTTAACCTGCTCTGACAGGAGACCCTTAAGCTCTTTGTAGAGAGTACTTAATGCTATCTAGTTTCAATTCAGCAGATCCCTCTGCAGCCCTTACTGAAAGAAGCGTTTGTTAAATTCATTTATAGCTCTAAAAAGTGAATTGCAGCAGACACGACTACACTTCCAACAGCTACAGAGCACCAGGGAGCTACAGCACTGGCTTATAAACTGTCACCATAGATTTTGTCTCTTTTCTATTGAATTGCTTCCTTCGTGGAGGAGTATATGCACTTAACGGGGACCAGAGCTTTGACCTGCCAAAACACCACAGATAACCCAGAACTAAATGCTTAACTATCACTATTCATGACAGCCCAAAGGAGAAGGACCTTACAAACATTTGGAATTCTAAAGAAATCCACCAAAATGTCTGAAAACACTAATATGCAATAGATAGCTTAGTGGTGGCATATATGGACCTCATCTAATGAGTGAAGAAGATAGTCATGACTCACAGATTTAGTTAAATTATATCCCTTCTATTCTTGGTGGTCATAGAACAATTCTGGAATTCTGGGCTGAGTGACTTCATCCTTAAAAAGAAATGTACAGCTTTTGCTGCCTGGAAATCGTGAATTATCATGACGTATGGCTTTTTGGGTCAATGGCTAGCTAAGGGACAAGGTGCATGAGGTAAGTCTCAAATGGTTCAATTCCATATGGTTCATACTTATTTGAAAAACCTTTTAAGTCCTTACAGGATAACACTATAGTATATGCTATAGTGTTGCTTGCCAAAGGCTTTTTTTTTTGTTTGGAATTTTTTGTGGAGGTTTTTTTATTATTATTTGGTTTGGGTTTTTGCAAGACCCATTTGGCTTTCAGCAAGGAAAATGTTCACAGCCCTCATTTTTTGTCATAAACTACAGTAAGTATGTACAATGCACCATGCAGCCAAGATTTTCAAAGTGCTTCACAATAGCTGCTGTTTAAAAACAAAAGGAAATCCTTAATGATTGATAATGGGGTTGAAACTATGGGATTGTTGCTAATTCTAAATATAGGGCAATGCTGTGCAATAGGGACAAAATTAGTTAAGTTATGATAAATCAGTTAAAGGCGTAAAGTTAAACATGCATGGCATTCAATATTATTGTGGACACTTTCATCCAGTAATAAAGGAGCTTCTACTTTTTCTGAATAGCCCTGTGTGGATGAGGACGTGGACAGTACAGAACAGTGCTGTGGGACACAGTGATTGCTAGATATGCCAGATGAGAGATGGGAGGACAATGTTTTACGTTGAGAGCACAGGCACTGCAGAGCAACTTTCTCGTTCACCCACACGCTGTCTGCTCCTGCGAATATATGGATATATCCATACATGGGAATATGCCAAAAATAAGGCATGGTCTCAGATCATGAGCCAAGCCACAGCATTCAAGTGCCAGACATTTTTCTCCTGAGGCGCCTGCTCTTCTGGCCACTTGCATCCAGCTCCCAGTTTCTTTGTGCTCCCTGAATGATGAAAAGGACTTTGTCCAGGGAGCTGTGGATCCAGGCTCTAATGCTGCAGTGATGAGCAGCAGTGCAAGAACCCCAGGAGATGAGACAGGCAGACAGTTGCTTCATAAACCAGTACTGCAGAAAGCTTTTTGTTCCTAGCAACGCTAACCAAAATTGAGTATCAGCAGGAGGAGGGTTGGGTAGATGCAGCAGTATGGCTGGCACGATGCTGTAATTAACTGTAAGATTTGTAGCAATTTCCTAAGTCCTCATGAAATTAGCTATGGAATTTATAAACAAAGAATAAATCTCTCACCTATTAACTGCCCATTATATTGAATACCTAAAGCTAGTGAACTCTTTAATAGTACTGAGGACACAAATGGAAGAGGCCTGAATATACTGCATATGGCATCATGAAGAAAAAAAAAAATCAGTTAACTTCCCCATTTGTTGTTATGAAAGGATTCAATTTATGATCTAAACACCATGATTAACCCACTCAAATCCCAAACAAAACAGCCTCAAGACAGATCATTAAGGTAGATGTGAATGCCAGGAAAACTCATTCTGAGTCTGACATACCTCAGGGGACTGGGGAGATTAGACATTGGGCTGTAAATGTTTAATGTAGCAAATAAAGGATTCTCACTACTGAAGATGTTATAAGAATGTCATTTTCCTGAGGGGTTTCCACTGATAGGAGAAACGTGACGGACCAAGTAAATTCTTGGGAGAAAATTCTAAAATATTCAGACATTTATATTAAGAGGTTTGGCCTTCCCAGTATGGTTTTAATACAACTGAGTTTGTACAAAAGGATTTTCTTACCACACAAATCTAAGCCATGTGTCTCATCAGATCCCTTTTTTTTTAATTATACTGACAAAAACCTAAGCTTCCTTAGGTTCATTGGTTGCTAGCACTAGTGGTCCACTTTTAAAATCCTCACATGTCAGGAGATAAAACACAGTAGTTATCAGACTAAACCAGACCATGTTTGAGAAGGCAGTCATCCCCTCCAGGCTCTCAGTGACTTCTTCAATACCATGCCACAAAGAGGAAGAAGCTGTCCAAGTCAAATGAAGAGAGAACTTGTCCCAAACACCACACAAAAGGGAACAGGTCATAGAAAGAAAACTATAAAGAGTTGGGAGTTGAAACTCCAGGGAATGGATATTGGGACTAAGAAATGAAAAAAGAGGTCTGGCTGAACAGTGAATAAGGATTTAGGATTAGGAGAAAGAACAGGAAGCTGAGCTGTGAGATCTGCAGAAACAGATTAAGACATGCAGTAAGGATGTGTGTGGGATGTGATAGCCAAAGGGGACAACCAGGACTGAAAAGGTAAGATGAAATCAAATTGGAACAGCGATAAGAAAAGGAAATGGGAGAAATAGAATATGCACAGAAAAATCTCATGGAAAAGTCTATACCAGAAAGACAAACTATAGCATGATTTCCTGGAAAGTATGAAATGGAATTTAATATTATTGTGTCTCTCTGCTCCTCTAGGGTAAATCTATATTTATATCTATTTGGAATACTGTCCGTCTCTTCTAGTTGAAAGGAGATGGCAAACTTACAGGTGACAGTTTCCCCGCTAGCTCAAAAGGCAGAGGACTGTGTTGAATGTAGATATGCCCCATGTGGTGTCAAAAGAGGGTAGATTTAGATTAGATATAAGGAAGAAATTCTTTACAATGAGGGTGGTGAGACACTGGAACAGGTTGCCCATGGAAGTTGTGGATGTCCCATCCGTGGAAGTGTTCAAGGTCAGGGGCTTTGAGCAATCTAATCTAGCAGAGGGTGTTCCTGCCCATGGCAGGGGTGTTGGAACTAGATGAACTTTAAAGGTCCCTTCCAGCCCAAACCATCTGTGATTCTATAACTCAATGATATGATATGAGATTTCAATGGTTTGGATTTACCCCTTCCCCCAAACCCAGGCAATGACATACCCTGTTAAAGAAATGTTACTATGACTACAAAATCAAGAGCTCAAAGTTAGAAAAAAGCCAAGATGAAAGTTGCCTATTCGAGCACCTGTGTGTATATTCATTGTGCCACTGCCTTTAATTATCTGACCAAAGCCTGTGTTTTCTTCTGTTGGACTCTTGTGTCTTTCTAATCTTTGAATATGTATGTGTGTGTGTGTGTGTGTGTGTATGGGTGTGTGTGTATGGGTGTCAGTCAAAAGCGAGAAATGTAATTCACTGTGCTGTCTGGACAAAGCCCACGAGGTCTCAGCCATCAAAAGGCAAACTGAGCTATTTTCCCTGACACAAGCAATGCCTTTGGGAACTTCCTCTTTGTTTCTGTCATTTCTGTTACAAACATTTATCAGTGGTTTGCATCTGTATACACCAGCATGAGAATCTGTGAGCTCAGTGGCAGCAGTTTCCAATATTTAACTCACTACTGACTTCTAACCCCCTTGGTTTCATCTTGCTGGGTTACTTTAAGCAACCCATCCAACCCTCTCAGTTTCAGATCCTATTAAATCACTGTGACAGAGAAATGCATGAATTAGCTAATGCCTACACAACACATATTGAGAAAACAAAGCTATTAGAGCAAGGCAGTGACCTTTAAGCAGGGTGAGATTTAGCACACAGTCTGTAGGTAATGCTGCCTTTTACAGAGCTTCTACAGATAAGCCACCATGTGCCCTAAGAGTCCTCCTGAAAAATAAATGGTCATTGGTGCTTGCTTTACAGGACGGAAGAGAAGGTTTATAGCTACACAACCCATCTCACCTAAATCCACCCAGATCAAAGTTGCTTCCCAACATGAGTACCTTTCCTTCAGTGGCTAATCATCTCCCCTGTCCTGACCCCATCTGCTAATTCAGGTTTCCCTCATCATACCACCTAGCAGGAAGTCCTCTGCTACCCTCTGCCCTTTACATTATGGATATTCATGATGTAAACACAAAGTCCTCAGTGCTGATCTTTTCCTCTTTTCCTAGTTGCTCAGAATCACGTGGAATAGTCTCCAAATTAACCTCACCTGCCATATCCTTGAGTTTTAAAGAGTCAGAATACATTTCATAGATCAAGGATTCTCAAACTGTGGTAAGTGCATTGCTGGTATGAGGAAGCTACAGTATCTCTGTACATGTGCACATCCCACATGACTCACAAGCTTGTCACTCCATGTACCTGATAAGAGCTCCTCGGATGACCCCAAAACCCTCAGATAACCCACAGAAATTAAAGGCAGGGACAGACGCATTATAGACATCTGGCTAGATATAATCAGAGACAGACAAGAATCCGAGGTTAACGTCATATCATGTTACACCAGCCCCCACTCCCCCCCCACACACACACAAAGCAAGGAGGCTGCAGAGAAAAGGATTGTTAGATTACAGATGGTTCAACTGTTATATATATGGAACTAAATTTTCTTCAAAAATTGCTTTTTTAATCTAGTGTGCCATTTTATTCAAGAGGAGATAAGGAACGACTGCCTCTGTATAAAAGACAGTGTGGGAGATCCAGAGCTGTTACAGTGCTGAGTTATGTTTGATACTGCCACCATGGCAGCCGGGTATGAATCCTCCTTAATCTTAGTGGTATTGAGCAAAGTAAGATTGTTCACCATGGCTAGGGCATACAAAACAACAAGTTAAGAGTGGTAAGAACTGAGATATTCTATTTTAAAAAAACCAAACTGTGCAGTTACTGCTGATGGTGAGCTATTTCACCACTCCATCTTCATGGTGCAAATTTACAATAGTGTTGGCAAGGACTAAGAAGGTTTGAAGACCACTTGGTCACTAACTAGTTTGTGGTTGGTTGGTTTGTTGTTGATTTACTTTTTTTTAAAATATAATTAATTTCTGCATATCCATCCATTGTCAGGAATTTGTTAGTAACATGAAAAGGGGAAAATAGGGTGTCATAAACAGAAGGATTTTGCTATTTTAAAAATAACTCAATTGTTCCCCCACAATGCTGCTTTGGATCACACTTTTCTGCAATAACAGGAAACCAGAGAGATTGCACAGAAGATATGCAGGCAAGAGACAGAATTAAGGTCTGTTCATCTAGAAACATCAATCCAACTTACTTTTTGAATATGATAGTCTTGTTTATGGTCATGTAATGTACAACTATCTTACTGGGCAGAAGGTGGTGAAGCTGGTGACTAGGGTGACAAGTGCATGGGGCATGTATAGGGAGGTGTTAGAGAAGACAACTACATTTGCAGCAAAGAATATTGCAACATAAATAAAATGCCAACATAAATCCCTTTTTTAAGAGTGCATGGAAGCATTCATCCCTCCTCACTGAAGGATCAATAAGCATCCTCTGTACAATCATCAATCATGCCACAGACAATACTGAGATGCTGACAGAAGAAAGAATGAAGAAGAAAAGAAGGAGCATGGGGAAGGAAGAAAGGCACAATTCAGAAACAGCATCTTGGTTAAATGCCAGCTGCAGTGACAAGAAAAGTAGAAAGCAACAGAAGGAGAATGGGCTAAGAACGGTCATGCCCTTCAGAGGACAGAATGACATTCTTTAATTTCTCAGGAGGTTTTCAAAATGAGGTGTCTACCTCCAGCAGAGTGAAGATTAATCTCCATGCAACAGTTTGTATGGCGAGTTGTTATATGTTGGGAAGTGCAATTTTAGGTGAAGTAGTTGATAGAATCAAATCAGTATTTCAAGCAAACAAGGCGAGTGAAATGTATTTACTGTGAGTTAAAATGATCCAGATTATTACACTGATGCCAGAGCTTTCAAAACTCTATTATGGAGACATGTAACAGGCAAAAAAACCGTAACAGCTTCTTTGCTATTTTTCCTACAGGGATAACAGCATGACTCGTTATTAACTGGCTTCCTTCTCCTGTTCTGATTGCTGTGAGATTCTGGTTGGGTTTTCAAATGATTTAGGGAGGTAAAAATGCTTTTAAATCCTTGTGGGCAGGGAATGGATATTTAGTATAGTATTATGGAATTAAGTTGTAGGTATTCTGCCAAAGCCTGGACAGATATGTAAATTGAGTCTCTTGCAAGCGTCTAGTGAGACACACATGCACCTGAGAGCTACAGTCATGCTGAAGGAAGCTAACCTCACGCACAGCAACAGGCCTTGTAGAAACAGGGCCCAATACAAGTGCTCTTGTATTTTGTTAGTGCACAAGTATTATCTGCATTTAAATTTTTCATTCAGACAGACAAAATTTCAGCTATTCACCTGCCATGGAAATTTATTTATTTCCACTCCCCTCCTCCCTATATCACTTTCTTTGGTAAAGAAAGAAGAGGCACTTCTCCTCCTTCAGCACTTCCCTCCTTCCCCAAGTAACTTTTAGTGGCAATGCTCCATAAAATGATGTGGTGATGAGGACATAGTCTCAATTTAAACATGAAGCAAATTCTTCTCCGGCAAGCCATAATCCTCATCCTGTTAAAATTCTTCTCAGTCCAGTGATGAAGGCTTTGATTTCTTAAACTATGACCAAAATCCACTAACAAAAACTTCAGAGAAGGCTGTCAGGACCAATATTAAAATTTAAACCATTTCAGTTCTTTTGTTGCAATGAGAGCTGGTGAATTGGGAGAATAAGGAGGGGTGGGACTAGAGGAATGAGAGTGAAACAGTTTCACTATCTTCCAACAGTAAGATAAGCAAACCAATTAAAAGCATTGTCATCCTGTAATTACCAGGGCACTCTGTATTACAGAGGGAGCTGAAGCTTTGTTGCACAACAAACAGTCATGCTTGTAATTTAATATGAATAATGAGCCAGATGCATGAACAAGACTATTAAATTATCACAAGCAGCCATGTCCCTCATTGAATAACGACTCCGTGTGTCACCAAGGAAAGGAACTCCATTTTTAAGTGTGGATTGTCATCATCAATGTTGCCAAAGCAACCACTGTCTCCTTTTGACTTCCTCCCTGAACGTGGCAATTAAACCATTACACGAGGAAACAAAACAGTGATTATTCTCTTATGTGGAAAACTGAAGGCTGTTAAAGAATAAGGGACTGGGGAAGCCAGATTCCTTTCCCCAAGATAAATGCACCTGTGCAAGAACCACGTTCAAGGTCAGAGCACATTCTCAATATGAAATTTATCATGGTGCCCCACTCAGTTTCAAATTTGATGGTAATCATAAAATCTGAAATATCTTCATGCACTAGTAGAAACCAAGCAGAATCAACAGAAAGACATGAATAAAAAAAAAACCAACTAGTGTGACAAGCACTTATCTTACAGCAAATAAAATCAACTTGCAGAAGGCATAGTTAAATAAGAAAACAGGTGAATTCTCTATGCTCTTTATGGAGAGAGTATTTATATATATAGAATATGTATGTGCATATGCACAGATAGATGAATATACACTCCACATGACTCATCCAAAACGCATGCTTGATCCTATGTTTGAGTGTTGTTATTGTTGTCTTGGTTTTGGAGGGTTTTTTGTTAATGTAAGATTCATACAGAATGTTCTACCAAAAGCAGAAACATCCTGGCTTCTTCCAACTTACAAGCTTCCCGGAGTTTTTCTTTGTCGTAATGTAGCCCCTCATATTCTTGTAAATTAATCCTGTTTACTCTGATCCGCAGGCGATCTGGGATGGAATGAGGGCTGCAAAAAAAGAAGAAACCTTCTTAGATGAAGCGTTCCATGGAAGAATAAATTGAAAACAGGATATGAAGTAATTTTAATCTTCTCTGAAAGAAGAAAAAGAGCCAGCCTCTTCAAAACTGGGCCGACTCCTCACAGGCCCAGCACTGCATTTACAATTATGACTACCCACTGCACAACAACATAGACATTACACCTTAAATGATAAGCAGGATCAAGAAGCCCATTTTCTGGCTGTGTGGTCTGGAATTGCAAAGGTTTTTCTGTTTTCTAACTACCCCTCCTCTCTGCAGTTTGCCTTTTTGTACATCCCTAGGGCCCTATCACAGCCAACAGGTCTGCCAAGCTGTGGTTCAAGACACGGATGCTTTCTTGGGAAGTCTCTCATGACAACCAGTCCTCTGCCCATGAGAGCACGACCCTCATTCCTGGAGGATCCTCATTCAGCATCTCTGTTCTGGGAACCAGGCAACAGGAATGTGGCTAAGAACTGGATTTCCAAAGTAGTGAGTCCAATACACAGAACCCAGGAGGACTTTCAAAAGCAAGTGGCAGTACAGGAACCTAATTTCTACAGATTTCATCCAGATTTAGAAACCTCAACCATCTATATAATTTTGAAACACTCAGTGTGTCCTTATCTATAAATTTAAGTGTCCATAATTAATAGAAAGTTGCCCTGAAAAGCGTTGTTTTGTTTTCATGCCTACTTCCACCTTACCATAACCTAATATTTGATTTTGTAAGTTTAACTGAATGCTATGTTAATTAACGTGGCCATGTTTGCATTTTCCACTTTTAAAGAAAGATAGATAACCTGTGTTATTATAATGCACAGAGCAAATGTCTGTCCTCTAGGAACTGGCCCCTGGGTCAGTTAAAAGTAAATTCTTCATCCTGTGCTTCCACCAAAAGACCATCTTTTTTCTCTGTTTTAATCTAGTTAGTAACAGAACTCTGCCAGTGGTATTATTGCCTAATACACACACTGTCTTTTAAAAGTTAAAATACTGTCCACTGCCATAAATATACAGTTTTGCTTCTTTCTTTGTCTCATTTTTAAAATATTTGACCTACAGCATTTGTACTGCTAGTGCTGACAAACCACATCTCGCAAATGCAAACTTTTTTTTTTTTTTTTTTTTTACACTTTTTAAAAAAGCAAGCAACTTTCTTTTTGGCTAGAAAATACTACAGACCTAACAAAACACATGGTTTGTGGCCACCTCTTTGTAGAGCCACTGGGTGTGCAATTAGCAGTTGTTTCAGTGTTAGCTTATTGCATGCTTTCTCTCCGTTAGTATAAACGGCTCTGTCACATCTGGACAGATGAAAATAAAGATTGAAAATCAAGTCCCAGTTTAAAAAAGTTCTATTGGCACAAGTACTCTTTGCCTAAAAAGTGATAAAGGATAATGAATTGAGGGTGCCTCCAAAACTGGAGTGTAAGACAACATGCTAGATGGAGTTGTACTGAAGAAATTCACATTCTGAACAGGAGTTTCTACGTTATTGATGAAAATGAGCCTAAGATACATGAAGAATAGCTTTGAAGAAATCATAAATGATTAATAGCAGCAGTGAGACTGACACACTCAGAAGCATATAGGCTACCCAATGTTTTCCCTGTGCTAAGTGCCCCAAGATATCATCAAACTGCCCCTATTTAAGATAAGTTTTTGCAGTTTGATGACAGACACCTGGGATGGTAACTTCCAGCACAGCTTCAGGAGACAGGTTTCTAAATCAGGTGCCATTATATCATCCTACAGAACAGCACTTTCCACCTGCAGGCTCTACAGCTGGCTCAGCAACCTGGAGAAGATGAGTGCCTGCAAATGGAGGGGAAAGGTGCATAGATGGAACAAGAACATAATTGCACTGAGTCTGACACTTTTTTTTTTTCTTTCTTTGCCTTTTAAAACAAGTTTAAATGTCACATCACTAGCTGAGAAATGAACATAGTCTAAGGAACTATGTTCCCTTCCAAATTCTATAAGACGCAAGTTTCAAAAATGAAAATCATAGGAGATTTTATTTTTAGCCAGGAAAATAGAAGAAAACGTTTAAGTCAGAAAACATAGGAATTTAAATGCGTAGTCTTTGTCTGAGGGGAGAAAAGAAATAATTCACTGCATGTAGTAGGGTTCATGAAAATGACAGACTGACAGCTCTGAAAAGTGAAGTCTTTTATGCATCAGTACAATACAGGAAGAAGCTATGTTGCTTTTCTCATAATGTTCTGCCACTGCACATTTTGGTGAAGGTAGCTCAGTCTTCCAGCTGATCTGTTCACAACCTGGGGATTGTTGGAATGTTTCAGGGAGGAATGCTTGTGAATTATCTCTACTTTGAACTCAGCTGGGAGAGAAAGGGATGGGGAGACGGGAGAATTCAGCTATTTATTTCTGTTCTAACACTCAACCATGCTACAAAGACAGCCATCCTTGCTATGGCCTGAATTAAGCTCAGTGTAAATCCAACCCAAACTGTCTCAAACTGTTGCTTGTCCTGAAACCAGAACCAAATCTGTACTGTTCCGTTGAAATCTTTGAGCAACCCAGGATGGAACTTTATAAAAAGTATGCTTTGCAATCCCCAGTTCGAAATAACCACTTGAACAAAAGCTGATACTCCTGTGCAGGAATTACTCAGCCCAGCACAGGGGATGTTTGCCCTCCAAAGCAGAACCACACCATTGCCTCTCTCTACTTGCTGTTTTCCATTTCTTCCTTGCTACAGAGCTTATCCATGATGCATGATGCTCAGACTCTCCTCTTCCACTCTGTGACCCTGTGCTGTGGTGACCAGTGCTGCTCTCCATACTGAGGGAAAACAGTTTAGTACAGGAACTTTGCATCTTCCCATGGTAAACTGTAATTTTAACTCCTAACAGAAGTTTACCAACTCCTTTTTCTCCTTAATTTGTCCTTTTAGATCTTCTGTAGCAGATATCTGAGTGATACTTGTCTTTCAACCACCCATTGCATCCCATCAGTCTGGCTCCCTCCCACCAGCAACCTACTTGTGTCCTTCACTGTAAGAGATGAATGTGTTTATGTATTTTTGTAGCTCTGCACTGTCTGTGCAGAATTTACTACAGCTACAAGGTGTTTAATACTTCCCACTCACAATTTCACTTCCACACACTGGCCTTTGTCATGTTTGTTAGTCAGGGACAGGGCAGGTAACGCTCTCTCCAGCTTCCATATCTCCCTGTGAGCTTGTCTCAGTCATACAATTGTTTCCACCAATTGTTGAGGTGAAACAACTCCATTAAGCCTGGGATCACTAAAAAAACATGGTTAATGAATTATTTTTTGTCCAATCCAGAACAATCATAATTGAATCAGAGGCAATTTTAACAGCTGTTGTTTCAAGATTTCTGTTCGATACTTATCCATAACTACCATGTTTGAATTTTCAGAAATTATAATTATTTCTAGAGTACTTGGTTTAGACAAGAGAGGAAGGAAAAAAAAAAAAAGGCAAAGGAGTGATGTAACCAAGTTCACACATCTAATCTTTGACAGAGATAAGAATTCAATAGGACTCCAGCCCAAAATTCAGTCCCCTATTCCCAATGTCATGTACCCATTCCTCCCCAAGGCTACCTTCTTTAAGGTAAAAGTTAGGTTTTCCATAATAGTACAGTGATTTTTTATGTTGCTTCACCTCCTCTCCCCCCCCCCCCCCAA